GTATCATTTACAATACTTTAAGTTTAAAATGTAGTTTTTCAAAGTTAAATGGATGGTCAGAAAAGCTAATTTTATGATAAACGGTCGCCATAAGCCTGCAAGCTTGCGCTCAGGGCAGCAAATCAGGATTTTACACAATCCTCTCTACACATTTACAGATCTCACACGGCAGAAGAGTATCAAAAATCACATTTGTAAAGAGAGCCAATCGAGAAACTGCTTGACTTCTAATGATTTGTCTGTATTTCTGGGTATTGAAGCAAAAATACATCAGACTTCAGTGACTCTGTGTGTTTACAGACTGATCTAAACATTTGTAGATCTTAGTACACATTTGCAAATTTTAACACACATTTGTAGATCTGAATACAGATTTATGGATATTTTAAACATTTGCAAATCAATTCCAGAACAAGTTATTTAAGACATTTGCAAATACTCGTACAGACGGACAAATCTCCTCACACATTTTCAGATCCCACTGAACATACACAAATCTAGATACAGACACACAACTCTCCACACACATTTTTAAATAATTTTGCAACAATATTGCTCCCGTATGTATTTTGCTTCGATTAGAAATTTAAGACGCATTACATTATGGCTTCCTCTTGGAATCTGCAGTCTGCATGTCTAAAGCTGCCCCTTTAACAGTGGCTCTTTCTAACTTTGAACAAATGTTATACAGGAATAAAAAAATGAGTCTAAATTAAATCAGTGCAGCATTGTTTTAATGTAATTATGTATAAATATAGATATTTTTGCATTTATGGATTATATAGTATATAAACAACTGAGTCACTGAAATTATTCAGGCCTTTTAAATCATTAGGTTGCAAACTGTAGGCTTTACTTTTTTCAGTTGGTTGTTTATTTTCGTTAACATTTTTTAAAATTACTATTCAGAAAGGAATTGGCAAGCAGTCCAGTAGCTATAATATTTCTTTGCTTGCATATACCCAACAAAAATACAAACTAATTTAGATTAGTCACTCTAGTTTTCTGCTTTCTGTCTTCTCTTCAAGAAAAAAAGGAAAAACATAACACCATTAACAAAGTATTGTCCAATCTGTTTGCTGTTAGTATTATCAAATAGCAATTATTTATTTGCTAAAATAACTTTGTTTAAAATGTATTTATTTTTAATCTTGAAATATACGTAGATGCATTTATAGAAAGTGAGAGAATAGGGTGTGTCCACTTTTCCTTTACAAAGAAAACCTGTGTAGACTGCAGTGCGTTTTCTCTTCTCCCACGCAACACAAGCGTGCACAACCCTGGTTTCATTTCTAGTTGTCTGTAAACTTGTGCAAAAATCTCAAACTCCTTGGATTTGCTGTCATAACTCATTCAGTTTTGAAAAAGGTAATGCAGTAGATGCTATTTTTTAGGGTTTAAAAGATTTATCAGCAGTGACGATATCAACAAAAATCTTTGCTAAGAAAGTTAGATTGTTGGTTTTCAGGGTTCAGTAGCCATTTCACACCAGTTGCACTCTAAGAATTCAAACTGTATGGAAGAAAAACAATCTCATTGAAATCTGCCTTTTTCTGTCCAAAGAATTTTAAACACTGATTTTTTTTTTACACATTGAATTTCTTACACTGAATTGTATCTGGTGAAAATTCAGCTGCAAAAAATTCAGCTGCAAAAAAATTTGCCTGCAAATGTGCTGTCCTTTTGGTGAACTCAAGCCAAAGCAATCTACACTTGATGCAGTTGAACAGCACTAGCCAAGTAAATTAGCTTATTTTGTTCAAAACAAATAAAAAGGAAATTTGCCACTGGCGGCTTCTTCTGGATCAAACCAAGAGCCTTGGCAGACAGGGGTGCTGCACTACCTGTGATCGGCTCAGTTATTTCACCCAGTCTGATTAGATTAAAACTCTAATGGCTTTCTATTAGTAGCTGCCTGATGTTTTGTAATCATATATTTATTTAACAAGAAAAACTCAGAACAAAGCTATGTCCAACTGTTGTGTCACTGCTCGACTGCATCAAGTGTCGATTGCTTTGGCTTGAGTTCATCAAAAGGTCAACACATTTGCAGCTGAATTTTTTGCAGGCGAATTTTTCGCAGGGAAATTTTTTACCAGATATAAATTCAGTGTAAGAAATTCAATGTAAAAAAAAAAGGCTGATTCCAAAGAGGCTGTTTTTCTTCCATAGAACTGCAGCTTCTGCAGGTACGTTACATTATGATAGCATACCTAAATTCATTTTTGCTATTTAAAAAAATATATATATATAGATAAAATTGCATAAATGCCAACAGCTGCGATAAGGTTTCTTGCAGGAAATCAGCACTTAAATCCAGAGGACAGCATCGAGATTTATTTCAAAACGTGCCTAAAGCCACAGCGGATAGTTAATTGTTAAAAAGCTCTAAAATAATTCAACACCAAAGCAATGCATCCACAGCTGGTTATAAAGCTTAGTCCCGTGAGAAGGTTTGGACTCCTTATGATTTATAGCATTAGAGAGCAAGTAGTGAATATAGGATGGACTTTTATAGGCTTTTATTTTGAAGTTTTATAAAATAAATTAAACTTTTTCTTTCTTTACTGTTTTTGTTTAATTAGAGGTGATGTTTAACCCATTAAAACATTTTTAACAAATTCATTGACTAGATTTACATGTAGACATTTTCCAGTTATATAACTTTAAATATGTAGCCTAATAATTAAAGCCTCCCTGTCAGCAGTTGGTAGTTTTTTTTTTCCTGTTTTAAGGGTAACTTTGGTAAGTAATGCAATTGGACAAGGGATAGCCTTGAAACTTGTTTAAAGTTATTCACTTGAACTTACTTAAAGTTATTTTCCTTAAGAAGTATTCTAATAAATCTAACTAATGATTTGCACAGGAATATAAAAACATTATTTATGCCAAAGCTGGAATTTTTAGAGGAGTTATGAACATATACAATATATTGTTTCAGTACCTGAAACTGAGAGTAAACTCATGACAGTAGAGCATTTTAAGCTCTACATAATGGCTGAAGGATGGATCAGCACAACATTATCTGCTCAACACAGGATTAAACAGGACAACGCACCTGTAGTATTGGAAAATTGTGAGAAACATACCTCTTACATAATCATAGTCACGTAATACCATGTCTATCAAACTTTTTTTTTTTTTATGTCAGAGATCCCTTCTAGACAACACGTAGATGTAAGTTAAAAATATATTGAGATTTTGGGGGTTTATTTGCTGCTGGATTTGTATTATGTCTATATTATAAGTAGGCGGTGTTGAAAAGGTCATTGATGATGGGTTTCAGGCTTAAATCAAGATTTATCCACCTCACAGTTTGAAGAAATGACCAACATATCCTGAAGTTCTGGTAACAGTCCACACAACGCAATTACATTGATAGTTATTTTTAAATCAAATAGGCCAAACTTACTCGCTAATTGTATTGCCTGCTTTGACAATCGGGACAACACTTAATGAAGGTTGTAGCATTCAGAAAAAAAACAATTTCTCTAGATAATCCAGTTTTAGGTCTTCTCCTTTACCTTCTTCTCATTAGATAAACCCACAGCTTTCTTTCAGGATTTAGTTTTTCTTACAACGTTGAACAGAGGAAAAGGTTGATATGTATCCCTTGAAACATACATATAATGTTGCTTAAATGCCTATCCCTAGAGATGTTATGAGATGAGCCGTGGCTTCGAGGCGTGTGTTGAGTAGTGGATGGGGCGTTACCCCGAGGCTTGCTTCATTTGGGGGAGGAGCCAAAATCGATGACGCCCGAAGCCTCGCTACCCCTCCATACCATGTGAACGCTTCGGGAAGGGGTTCAGTGGAACTTAAGCAGGCATTTAAACAGCCTCAGTATTCAGTCAAGATGTGAGAGTTTGTAGGAGAGTTGGATAGAGTTTGGATATATTCTAAGAATAGATTGTTTGGGAAAACATCCAATCTAGTTGGATAAAACTAGTTTGGTTAGATTAAACAATGTAATGATCAAAATCTGAGCAAGCCACCAGTTAGTGATGTAATCGGTTTTAGGTAGTATCTGAAGAGCTATCACCTTGCTAGTCGTGTCAGCTGAAAGAGATGGACTTCCACTCTTAGGGTTCCTGGTTCAAGACTCATCTCAGACTTTTGAAAGTCACAATAAAACGCAACAAATATTTTGGCTAATGTGACTAATTTGTATTGGTTTGCCCTAATATAAATATAGATTGGGTAAAAACACTGCCAAATTAGA